GGAGGGCTAGAGGATCCTGTGGTTTGAGCAAATCCCAGAGGCCACCTCATAAATGCATGGAGGATATGTGGGCTCACATCTGACCCCTACTAAAAGCAGTAATCATTGTTTTTCTTTACACATTCAATAATATGACATTGTTGTGCTGCTGTGCTTGAATAACAGAAATAACCAGAACTCCCTGCATACATCTATACAGCAAACCACTTTTGATTTCTTTTGAAATAGATGACATGAATTGTTTAAAAAGTTATACTAAATTCATATGGCAGCGACTTCACCAACATGCCAAACAGAACAATACAGACTGATTACTCAGAGTCACTTCAAATTGCGCAGAAAGCTGCAGTGTCTAATTCCTTTTTGAAAACAGGCGAGCTTATGAGAGCTGATGTGGTTGCTGTGTGATGGATGTGTCTCCCCCAGGGGGAGTTGATGTCTTTTAGCTTTACTGTAAATGTTTACATTCCTGCATGCACTGATGCTATCTGCTAATAGTTTCTGGTACTATCCCGAAGAGTCCTCTGGGTGGGATGATATGCAATGTGTGTGTGAGTGAGAGAGAGAGAGAGAGGGAATGAGAGACAGAGACCAGGTCAAAGGGAAGCAGATCAGTCTTTAAACAGAGGAATTAACCATGACCCTTCTCTTTCCTGAGTCCTGCCCTGTGTCTGCTGAGGGCCAACGCATTAACATCAGTGAAACACACACTGCCGGTCCATTTCCCAATGAAGTAAAACACTTTGCTGTCGCTGAAGATATTATCAGCAATTGGCAGACATAAATGATTTTGGACAGACCCGTGACAGGGACGCCTCTCCCTGTTTCAGTCGTGTGAGCTCTTAATCCTTTCAATTTAGCCAGCAGTGTCTGTGTCAGCAGCCGTTTTGTGGACACGCTGGGTTAAAATCAACAAGGCCCTCGAGAAAATGATTCCTCATACAATTGAAACATCCGTAATGATTGTATAATTGCTACTCAGAAGCCTGGTGAGAATTCTGTCAAAAGATGAGAATCTTTAAAGTACACTAGGCATGGATTAGGTGAGGGCTGCCATTCCTGTATTGCACAGTGAAAAGCAACCCCACCCCTCATGGCATTCCTCTCAGCTGAGAAATCCGCAACAGCATAAAGACAACAGGAAATTACCTGTTTTCACTTGCTTCAATAGCTGTTACTCAAATCTTCTTTCTAATGCTCGGGGTGTTATGTAAGGAGCAAAAGTTGGTTTTGGTGATTGCTCAAAAGCACACAAACATATTTGCTTATTCTGCTGTTTTTCCCCTCTGTGCTCTATGAGTTTGTTCAGGAGAGGTAACAAAAGCAAAGCAAAATCCAAAAATGGGGCAGTTATTGAGCTGAAATAAAGTCATCTGAATGCGATTTCCTCTTCAGACAGTAGGGTAACTGACACAGAAAACGGGCTTCTCCATGACTCAAGCAAAGTCCCTTTTTATATTTCATTGTTACCCTCAATGGTCCAACTTATCTTTTTTGTTTGTGCTTTAAATAGAATAAAGTCCTGTGTTGTACAAAGGTGCTCGCTCAACTTGAGGTGAAAGTTGGGAATAGTTCAACTGTTTAGGCTCACATGCAGGAACCAGCAAATCAGATTGCCTGTCTGCTCATAAGCTCTGATCTGAGGCTGCATGTCGCTACAAATATCATGCCTGTCAAGTGTAGGGCATTAGTCTGTGCAAATCCTTCCTGACAATCGAGAAAATAGTTCTCAACAATTCAAGGTGCTGAAAAGAAGCACTTTGGTCAAATGATCTTAATGAATGATAACCACTCCATGAAATTTCACTAATTGCTGATTTGATAGCGCCTCTGTTTTGTCACGAAACAAAATTAACACCCTCTGTGAAAAGTCTTATTGTTATATGTAACAATAGAGCCATAAAAGATGGTTTTATAAATCCCACAACAGCTGACCATGATTGCATTGTTGGTTAGACTGGCAAAGCACTATTTGACAGTTCTGGCTTTGAAAAAAGAGCATATGTAAAAAGTTCTTGTGTGAACAAGAAGCAGACTGCTTTCTTTTTCGATAAAATGCTGACTAAAAATGACATTGTTACACCAAATAAAGTCCATAGTGAGAAACTGTAAGTTGTCTGAAATCCATTCCTGTCTCCAAACACTTAATTCATCTCTTAAAACGTGTACTACATTTAGAGACATCCCGCAAAATTTTCACTTTTTTCATGGTTACCAAAGGTACATCATGGGAAATTATTTCACTTGCTCATGCACGTGTCCACAAATTTTCATAAAAAAATTAACCTGGTACTTTTTGTGTTATCCTGCTGACAAACAGACACATAAAAAGAAAACGCACCATCCCTGGTATTAGTGATCAAATCATTCTTGTTAAAAATCCTTCAGCCACAAAAAATGAGAGGAATCTGAACAAAATGTGAAAAGGTTGCTAAGAATTGCAAAGCTGAACATGTGACAGTAGAACTGTTTCTGTATCTGATATGAAGTATATAAACGGGGAATTCACAATGCTATTTTATCTCAGATTTCACAGTTGCTGAGTATGACAAAATTACCCAAATCAAATTTTTGTCACAAAGTTGTTGCAGCGTGTTACTATGAACTCAAAATGTGAAAGGGATTAGAAAGGGAAAAAAGTAGGAGTATGCATTTTTTTTCATTGCAAAGAGTTCAGCTGTTTCTTTCCTGTCCAAAATGTTTTACAATAATATTTTTCTATTTTATTTTGGAGGTTACAGTAGCTCTTTGTCATTGTTTCAGCCTTAAACAGAATAGCTGTTGCAGAGCCTCGGCATGCAAGAAAGATTAGAAGAGACGAAACATAAAAGTCACACACTGAATTTGAACCAAGATCTTCAACTTTATTCGTTATTGTGCATAAATACTGCCAAATCTGCCCAGTGTTCCAGCTTTACCTTTGCATTTTGGATGTTCCTGAGTTTATGTTTCCATCAGGAAGTTTCAGAGGATGAGCTCACTTGCAGTTTTACATGCAAATATGTCGAATGCTTCTGAAAAGTGTGTGTATTTCTGCTTTTTTTCCCCTGACCTCTGACTGACCTATTGCGTGCGTTAGACGTATCTCTTTAACAACAACCTAAAGCACCTATGGATCTGCACCACACATGACCTGGGCTGCGTCGCATTCACTTTTGTCCCTGTCTGTCTTTGTGGTAGCTCACAAGTGAAGCTCACATTAGTGTTGCAGCACGGACTGGGCGCAGTTAAAGAAAAGGCCTTATCTAGTCACGGCAAACAGCCATTCACGAGCACAATGTGAACAATCAGAGCCACAAAGAGAATGGAATGCTGCACTGTCACTAAGTCCCAAGTGCAAGTATGAAAATAATCAAATTTGATGTGTACACAGTGTAAATCAGAACGGTTCCTCCTCCCGCCCGGCGCCCTGTTTTTAACAATGCCAGCCACTTACGATAAGTTGAAGTGGTGTTTTGATGGAAGAGATAGATGAGGTTTTTGGGCAGCTGCCAGAGTGCGGCACAAGGTGATTAACCCATCGGGCTGTGGTGGGAAACAGGAAGTTTAAGTGCCTATTTTACATCAGAGTTCTTTGATGTCACGGCCTCTTTAATCCTGTAATTTGGTATTTGCAAGGATTACAGAGGCAGGACACGGCTCGGCTTTAAAGCTTGTGTTCCTTTTGTGCCCCTGTGTCATGCCAATATTGGTTGGTGTATCTCACAATCATTTAGACCTGTATCTGTTTAGATTTGAATGTAGTCTTTGTTCAAATTGTTGGACATTTCAAATCCTAAATGTTTGTTCAGCCATATTTCCTCAGAGCTGTGAGACACAGCACTTTTGAATCCAGCTGCTTTACGTTTTTGCGTTTTTATTTTGAGATGAAGTGTTTACTTCTTTAAGATGAGGGTGTAGTCTTTTCTGAAAAGCATGATTAATGTGTGGCGTCTTACATGTGCAGCCAGGCTGGATGGAGCAACATCTCCACGGTCCATTGACCCCCTCTGACTCATGCAACGCACAAACCAGGGCAGAAATATGCAGGATGCTTCGCTCATGTCAAAAAACATTCATTTGGAAATAGGAAAAATAGATATTCACCTTGTGAGATATTAACTTTAAAATGGAAATGTAGGACACACAGGCACATAATGAAATTAAAATGTACTGTTTTGAGATTCATGATCAGGAAATGTGTCCAATAACCAAACAGGATATCTGCATAAATATCACTCTGCCTCTGACAGAGAGATGATCTGTTTGGCCTGTTGCGTTTGTGTAAATTCAAGATTCTTTTCCAGGTTAGTTGAAAGTATGAAACAAAATATATGTTATTGTTGGACTTGTGAGAGGGCCTGCTTTGTAATAAAAGAGAATTTGGAATTGTAAGACTTAGTACACATTTAAATTCCCACTTTTACCATTTTCCAGTATGATTTGTAATATTTTCAAATTACCTGCAAACATTGTTTTTTTGCAAACAATACATTAGCATTTTATAATGAACCTTTCAACCTATAGAAAAAACAAACAATCACCAATGCAGCATCAGTGTTCACGCCACTAATATAGATTTATTTGCTGTTATTCTTACACTATATCTCAAAGTAAGATAAAGTTTGTATTAAAGTTAAATGTTCAAATATTTGTCATTTTAATCAGCTGGTTTAGTTGTACCTCAGATTTTCACAGAACAGAAAAAGGCATTCATTTAAAATTATTTGAATTGATTTCTTCTACCACTAAACCCACCCCCACTTTTCTGCGTTTTCTAGCCTTAATTTTTCTGCGAGATTATTATTAGGAGATTTAAAAAAAACACAACAGTTTTGTGAATGTTTTGCTTCCATATGAATATATATACACTCCCACACTTTTCCACTTAATGAATTGTTGAAATCCTTTAGGGAATTCAAAATGATATCAGTAAAATATCCCAAGTCGTTTTTAACAGATCAGGAGAAAAGGTTAAACTAAAATTATCAGTCTAAACAAATATTTATTGTTATTCAGTGGCCTTCACTCATAGTCTGTGAGTGTCCTTATAGGCAGAAGTGTTTGCGAGTGAATCAAAAATGGATTTTTCATTTAGATAAATCAGTTAGATGACAGAAAAAAAAAACTCCTTCGTGGTTGGTATAGTCCAGACTCTCTGGAAAGAGAGATTCTATGTGTCACCAAACAGCATCCCAGCACACGACGTGCAGTCCAGGCCCCAGGGCGGGTAACAGTAGTGCAGCTGGGGGAAGCACTGGTAGCCCTGGTACAGGGGCACGGCCACGGGGAGAGCTCCTCCATCCCTCAGCTGGAAATGCCTCTGCTCGTCCCTGACCAGCACTTTGACCGCCACCGTCTTCGGGGAGCTCAGCGCAGTCTGTTCGGAGGCCATCTGCCGCCTCTTCGTTTTATATCTCCGGTTCTGGAACCAGATTTTCACCTGCGTCTCTGTGAGCTTCAGGGCTCCGGCCAGGTGGGCCCTCTCGGGCCCGGACAGATACCTCTGGGAGCTGAAGCGGCGCTCCAGCTCGTGGACCTGCGCGTGAGAGAAGGCCGCTCTGGAGCGCTTCTTCAGGCCGGCGGCCCCGAACCGGCCCTCGTCTGACCCGGTGTCCGGGTGGGATCTGACCTCCCCTTCGTCCAGCTGGCTATTCTGATGTTTAATCCGGCCCACGCACAGGTTCGAGTCCCGGTCTGCAGCCCCTGAGGGACAGCACAGAACACAAGTGTTAGGTGGGAAAAGATTTTTCTTTGCATCTCCTTCAAACTGTCACAATCAATTTACGAAGGATTGATATTTACAACTTCTTATCTGTGAATGGTAAGTGGGCTTGCCCTTAAGTAGCAGATGTTTGCTTGATATGAGTTTCATGACACATCATGACATTATTGGACATGAAAATACAGGCTAACGAGAAAACTAAAGAAATCTGGTGAGCCACATAACAAAACGTATAGGTTTATGATGATGATCAACATTCAGATTTAATCTAGGAAAGAACAATTGAATTTAAGATTTGATGTAATCCTTCCATCATTTGCTGTGTATTTTCTCAATTTCTTTCGTCTTTTACGATAGAATAGAGACGAAAACACCTGTATCCAAAACCAAAGTGCAAATGCAATCAAAATACAAACAGCAAACTTTTTAATTTCCCAAAGAATCTCCCACCTTCTCTGTTTTCGGTGGGATCGCCCGCGGTCTGCAGCGTCCAGGCCTCACACTGGACGGTATTGACGCTGATGTCCGGACTAAGTCTGTCCGGAAAGATGCGCTCCTCGCAGCCTGCGCGCGCGCTGCGCTCCTGCCGGCAGCGTGCCCCGGGCCCCGGGGTGCCCGGCTTCCCACTGGCATCCCTCGGGGTGAGGATGTCTTTGATGGAAAATGACGAAAAACTTTTGGTCATGATTCAAAATAAAAACACGGGTGTTTCCTCACTCTGGCTTGGGTTCGGTTCTGCGGAGGCATTAAGGAACCGGCTTGGAGAGCAGAACCTATAATTGATTTAGGCTGTCCATAACTTTTTGGGCGCTAATTTATTGGGATACGTTGCGGTCTGCTTGTGAGAAGCGTGCATCAGAAAGCCTCCGGACTGTTTCGACACTGAGCAGCAGACTCGGTTCAGATCTATTGGCTGTTTTCTGTGTCTGGTCCCTCCTTTGCACCGCCCAGTTTCAGGCTGCTGTGTCCGGAGGAACATTTCTTTTACAAGAGCGAGCTTTCCTGTCACCGTGATGGCAAAATAGATTATTTTTAGATTGTAAAGATGTAAAAGCCTGCTGAAGACACGATGGAATCAGATCCTACTGAGCACTTTAAAAATACCTCGAAGGGACCTGATCAGCCAGATCGGAAGCTGTATACTACACTAGAGATATAGATTTCCCCCAATGAATTAAGATCCCCATTAAGATCTCGACGCGTGCGTAAAAACTGATTTTGGTTGTGATAACTGGACTTACTTTTATGATTTCCTTTGAGCAGAAGTTTAAATAGTTTGCAGAAAGCACCCTACAGGTTGAATTTTGGTCATCATATTTGTAAAAGAAGAAACAAAAACTTCTTTTTTTTTAATCTTGGTTTTGTTTTATGGTGAAGGTGAACTTTTGGTTCCAACAGATGAGCAGCGCCGCCATGTGGGTAAGATTCACGCTTTCCGACGTGAAATGGGAAAAGAAAACAGCAACTGCTCACAGACTAACACTGGAATGAACGCACATTACACAACCATTCTTGTCCCAGTCTGAGCAGACACGGTGACAGATGAGGTGATCTGCCGTTTTTGTTAGCTTCCTCTGACTAACCAGAAAATCTTATCAGTGCCTGAGGGTGTCAGAGGGCGGCTGCGTGGGGAAACGTTGACCTTTTCTTTTTTAAAGAAAGAAATTCAGCACAAACGTAACGAATAAGTTCAGTCAACCTATTGGCCCTTTTTTGCTCATGACTTCACTTACCGTAAAAAAAATGATCTCGGTTTAAGAAGAATTCCTGCTGGTTATTTCACACAAGGCATTCCAAATGGCCCACAGTCGTGGTCTACAGGTCTCCTTCCTTTCTGTCCATGCGCACCAGAATTTGTATTTGCCTTTGGTCAAGTGAGATTAGAATCTTCATAAACCCAATCAATTCCTTGTCAAAGTTTTGATAATATTCTCCATTTAGGAGAAATCTTAATAAGAAATTGTTCCATGTGTAATTATCATTTAATCAGAAGCGTCAATCAAGTGCTCGTGGCTTCACGCTGGCTTGTAATTCCACCGTCTTTCAAAAACTAGAGTGGACGTCTGTTTTAAAAACCATCTTCACCCTTTGCAGAAACTCTTTAAAGGTCAGCTTAACTTCAGTAGTTTCCCGTCTAAATTTGGAGCCCGGCTCCCTCTTTGTAAGTGCCTGCCACTGGAGACTTTTTTCTGTTTTGGGAAACTGGCCTGCGGAGCAGCATTGATGAGCCACCGGGCTGCTATCTTTGGAGGCGCGCGATAGCGATCGCGAGCGCCTGTCAGAGCCGCCGCGCGTCCTCAGGCACCGCCGGCCTGTCGCCAGCTCTATTTACACTGGTGGCTGCGCAGCACTTAGGGCTGCCAGCAGCAGGTATGTCCTACCGGCAGCGCCGTAGCCACAGGAAGCGTCCGGAGAGCCTGAGAAGGCAGACAAACACTCTGTTTACTTTGCCATTCATCTCCATTAATGGCGTGCGCGTTGTCCACCATGCCTTCTAGGTTAAGGTATTTAAGTCCAGCTCCGGCCAACCGAACCAACATCTGTGTGTGTGTGTGTGTGTGTTTGCGTCCGCGTGAGTGTGAGTCCAGGCCCAGAATTGTACCATCCCCGTTCAAATTTGAGTAATAGTTATATATTTAAAATGTTTTAAGTGGCCATGTTCTATTTAAGTTCTAAGGTTTTCGTTATATTGTAATCAAAATAACATTTATAACAATAACAATTATTATCAGTCGTGGTATTATTGTTGTTGTTATTATTTCTGTGTTAATGTCCCATTTTTTAAATTATTTTTTTAATGTACTGACCACTCGCACACAGGCTGTGTGAGTGGCTGTCTGGTTAATGTCCATTTCTGAATCCTGAGGACATTTGCTCGTTTTGAAATTCCCTCTGTTTCTGGATTTTGTCTCAGATCCAAGCAGGCTTTCTCACAGGCGGGAAAAAAATCTTGTTTCTCTTAGGATACTATTTGAGACGACGAGAAATGTTGGAATCAACCCCATCAGATACAGTTTTCTTTTTCTTTTTTTCCCCCCAAGATTTTCTACCCTGATTCATATACAATTATGGTACACACATATCAACATCGATGTGCTCACACACTAAAAAGGACATATGTAAACACAGAAAAAGGTCGTGTGTTACAATAGTTTTATGCCATTTTATTCAATCACCAACGTTCAAGAGTCAATGTAACGTTAACGCCGACTTAACGTTGTTTTTCAAGCTATGGACTTTTCGGTCAAAGTAAAAATGATAAACAAATCATTCTGGTCAAACACATGCCTGAGCGTTCAGAAAAAAAAAACAGAAAAAAACGGATAAACATAATACTTGTGGACGCTTTGGGCGCGTATTTCCTGTAACGTTTTGCCTCTTTTTAATCAGGCCCTGTTGTGGCAACAATTCACTCATTAAATGCCTCACAGCGAAAACATTCTTGCTTCTTTCCCCAAAAACACATCTGTTTAGTCGCTGAATTTTGGCTCATCAACATCCATTCCATAATACCTTTTTTCAGTACGTTTTCACAAGTGGCTCAGAGAAAATGCAAGTATTTGGAATTGGATGCCAGTCGGTGTATATACTTCATAGACCTGTTACAGACAAGTAAGCCACTGCAGTTTCTGCCGTTTGAGAAGGAGTTTGCATGGCGCTGCATGCTTGAGTTCATCCGGTGAGGTCCATGGTCGGCCTACCATGCCCGGATGCCCTGCAGAGAGCCCTGGCAGGGGGGGGCCACGGGTCCCTGGGGGGTCTGGCTCTGCGTCTGAGCGCCGAGGGTTCCCAAATTCACGTTCATGAAAGCGTTAGCAGCAGTGTTGCTCGGTGGGAGAGCGGGCACACTGGAATAAGTACAGGAGTAAGTGTTGGTGTACATGGAGTTGTTGTAGCTGTAGGGGGGGTATCCGTTGTAGCCGTACGGGTTCGCGGCTCCCACTGCGTAAGGGGGGTTGTAGTTCTGGGATCCGCTCAGACAAGGCCTCCCGTCTCGAACCAGAACTGGCACGGCGACCCTCCTGGGTGGTGGGAGGTGGTGGTGGTGCTGGTGGTGGTGGTGGTGGTGGCCCGCTATCTCCAGCGTCTTGTCCTGGCGCTGCCTCTTGCATTTGTACCTCCTGTTCTGGAACCAGATCTTGACCTGGGTGGAGGTGAGTTTGAGGGAGCTGGCCAGGTGCTCCCTCTCCGGGGCGGACAGGTAGCGCTGCTGCTTGAAGCGCCGCTCCAGCTCGAACACCTGGGCCTGCGAGAAGAGAACGCGGGGCTTCCTCCTGGTCCTCTGCTGCTTGGCGGCCGGCTTCTCCGAGTCCGGATCCCCGCACTCACCCCGAAACGCAGCGCAGTCCTCTGGAGAGAAACGGGACCACACAACACGTCAATGTGGCTGAATTTAAAATATCCTTCCTATACTACGAACACTGTTTTTTTTATCTACGTCACCACCCTTTACCTTTGCTTATGAAATAATTCTGTGGCGACTTTCAGAGGGAATTTCCTCTGATTATGAAGGTTTAAGAATTACTGGAAATTGCTTTTAGGCCCACGTAATTTTGAGGAGACCTATTTGAAGATATGCCAAAGAATATGAATCCGATGAGAATAATTATTAATCACAATATTGAACGAGGATGGAACATTATTGTCCAAATACTCCATTAAGTAATTTATCCAGAAATGGTTACATCTTTTAAACGAAAAAGGCCTAAATGTGAAGTATTTGAATCCGGACATCAGCGCGTATCAGTTTGAAACCCAGTCACTGCTATCGAAGGAAATCTGCTCAGTGGTTTAACAGTCATAAAAAGGCAAATCTCTGGTAAACCAAAGTGAATTGTGTGGTAAGATTAAACGCAATGAGCTGGCTGCTGATAGATTGTAAATGACTTTGTTTTAGAACTACGTGGCTCTTGAATTATAATGTAAAACCACAACAACTAAGATTAAGTACATTTTTATTTTTGAAAAAAGGCCCAATTTTATATTCATCCCGAATGTTCCATTTAAGAGAAAGATCAGTAAAAATATCACACTCTTATTTCTCAAATGAGTTTGTTTATTCAACGTTTCAGCAAATATATGTTTTAGTGATTCTCAGCATTCACAGACGTTTTCCAGATTTGAAGTTTTACTGGCACTTTTTTTCAACAACTTAAAAAAACCCAAAGACGAACGTGTATGCTTTTAGTCTAACTCCACCTTAGCTCCTGTCCATAATCAGTCTTCTACTCACTGACGGTGCGCTCCTGCTGCTCGGTCTCCAGCCGGAGCTCGGCCGGGTCGTTGGCGAACCCTTCCGCCGGCAGAGAGGACTCCCGGAGCCGCCCCCGGCCGCCCAGCGCGCCCAGGCACGACATCCGCTCCTCGCTCTCCGACAGGCAAGAGCTGATGGGGCTGGGGCTGTCTCTGCCCGCCAGCATGCAGGAGGGCGGCGAGTAGGAGCTGAGGGACTTGTTTGGGAAGGCTCCGGACTGCGACAGTCCCAGGCGGGAGATGAGCTGCAGCTGCTGCTGCTGCTGGGACTGCTGCTGGAGCTCCAGCTTCAAAATGTCCTTGACAGAAAAAGGCGTGCTGGAGGAAGCCACGACCGGGCTGGGGAGCATTATTACCGCCGACGGGTGACGAGTTAGTCGCCAGGCGCGTGTCTCTGCTGGAGAAGTCAGAAGCCCCGTGCGTAAAGCGGAGAAGCGGACGCGCTCTGCTCGCGTTTCGTACTGAGCGAGGAGGGCTGCCTCTCTTCCAGCTGTGACATCCCTCTCCACCGGTGGCGCGTCTGAGGCCAGAGGGCTGAGCGTGAAAGAGAGAGGTCGATCCTGTTTGGTTGGCTGAGTTGAGTTATCTGGGGAAAGAGCTGGGTCAGCCAAGATGCTTTCCTCTCCCTTTCAGTGACGTCCCGAAGCGTAGGAGGGACTGACAGTCTTTCTCCTTTTCTAGGTGTACCTGAGTCAGGAAGGCCTTCCTGGTTTATCAAGAAATATTGAACAGTCTGTTAAAGGTAAGAAGCTTTTTTATACATTTTTTAAATTTATTTATCTAAGATAAGTAAATAAATGTCGAAATAATTACAGAAAATGATCTATCAGTCCAAGGTATAATCTAATGAAATAAGCAATCAGTTGGATACCTGATGCATTTTTTGGGGTTTTTAGATTTATCTGATCGTTTTGTCTTGTTGTTAGATTATTCTAGACTCGTCCCAGCTTTCCCCATCATCGCTGGTGTGGAGTTAGGATCAGCCAAATGTTTCCTGTCTCAGAAATCCGTGGATAAGATAAGTGCACTGCGACTGTGGGAAACGAGTTTATATTGGCATATAATCGGAGCAGTAAATATAGATTTAGTGGGTTGACGTTTCTTTATGTCTCCTCAATTCGAGAACATCTCCGTTTTTTTAGCACGAAAAGTCTGGACACGGTCCTCTTCACTCATATTCATACGGGCCCACGTTTTGGTGGGGATTTTATTAATTCATTTTTTATTTAAAAAGATGGAGAAAAATAATTGACTTATACTCTTCCCCGTGCGCTAATACTGTCAGGAAATACTGAAAGTACATAAACTATTGAGTTTCTAGCGAAAAGAATAAATGAAAACGAAATTCTTTTTTTTCTGGTGGAGATGATTTAATCTCGTACAAAACGTACAATTATATTTCTGTAAATATTTACAGTGTTATCTTTGTAACAGTACATGCAGCACATCGGCAGGTATTTGTACAAAATCAAACCAAACCCCCTCCTAATGGCTCAATAAAAGTGCTGAGAGTTATTTTTAATTGGCAAATATTCAAATTATTGGACTACTCTGAACTTAGATTTCAGGACTTTATTACTCTTTATTTCCTCCTCTTTCATCTCGAATCAGACATTTCGAACATAAACCTCAATGTCAATAATCGAATAATGAAATATATGCAAGCATAATATCCTATTTTACCCAAGCAGTTAAAAACCTTTTACAGCACTATTTTACAGAAATTGAATTATGAAGCTTTAAGAAAAACTCATCATATGGTTTTAAATTGTCAAGTTAATCATTTCATTACGTCTTCCAAAAATGTTTTTCGTCAGCATCAAAAACTACAAAATAACTCAATGAAAAAGTAACTAATAGTGAAGACAAAGCAGACAGATTGGGGCATTTTGATGCGTGGTAAAGGCCCAGCTTTGTGAAACAGGACACCCCTCTCCTGGTCGACTATCTGTGGCCAAGTGCAGGCGCCAGGCTCTGAGGGCCTGTTGCTCCTAAAGCGTGTGGAAAGAAAAGGAGGGAATGTCCATATAATCTCATCCGCTCACCATCAGCAAGACGCTGTTTAGATTAGGAGATCTCCCCTTAAAGATGGCCATTAAGCAGGGGGGGGGGGGAAAGTGGGGAAAGGGTTAGTGTCCACAAAGAAAGCTTCTTCCTTTAGGCAAAAAAATAAATACATGAAACGTCAAGAAACGGCCCCTGCCCCTGTCCATATTCACGTTTATAATGTTCATAATAATCAATAAATGCAAAACCTGTGTTTCTCCAAGCATTTTCACTCAATCGGAGGAGAACTTTCAGGAATTTGGTCGAATTTATGAGATGGAATTGGCTCGTAAAATACACCTCGAGGCACTAAATCTGGTCGATTCGTTTCCCAAATATTTACCCATTCCTCTATATTGAGTGCAATGATTCAAAGAGACAGCAGAGCAGAAAGCTGAACGCTTTGTCTGGCCTTCTGTGGGGTTTTGAATTATTTCCTCTCAAACCGCATCGACTTTTGGCACAACTTTCGGACGTCAGTCTGGAAATCCAGACCTTTCAAACCACTGCAGCGCCACGTCTCACAGCCACATTGATCCTTAATGGGTCATTTAGCTTTCACCCCCCCCCCCCCCCCCCCCCCCTTAAACACGCACGTCCACGCGCACAGCCTCTCCAGCCAAATGACCATCACCATCGGCGGTCTTCGCGTGCCATCGCCAGCCCAAGAGTGGCCAAACAGAGCCGCGTGTTTACGGAGCGGAAGAGTCTGTTTCCTGCCTGTAACAAAACCCAGACTCTCAGAGAGTGTCAAGGAGCTGCTCGGTGCTGAGTGCGCCTCCCCAATACATCATCTTCATTTGAGAACCGTCCTGATAAGCTGGGTAAGGTCAGCGGGCGTACAGGCCGCAGATACATGGGCAGAACTGTAAAAAAACAACAACACAACAAACAAAAAAGAATAAATAACACTTTAGAAATTCTGAATTCCAAGCTTAAACAGATTTGCAAAAATGTTTTCTTCCTTTTATTAAAAACAGGAAAAAAAAATCGGTAGGCCTCCTTCAATCCTCTCATTTCACTTTCAGGTGGCTTCTCTTAACGTCACTTCTTTTGCCAGGCAGCGTTGAACATGTTTCGTCTTGTTTCTCTTTGTCTCTCCATATCTCTGTGGATCTGGGAGCTGTTTTCCTCGGAGTGGCAGGTGTATAGGCATATCAGTAGCTGCGGCAGGCTTTTAAAACCAATGGACTGGGAGATGGGAGCTGTTCCCCCATTAAAGGCAGCACTCATTTGGGACCAGTTTTATGACCCATGAGGACTGCAGGGACTTTAGGGGGTCTCCGCTGCATCCGATGATGATTCTGCCACATCGATTAACAAAGAAAACAGTGTTATCACAGGACCTGAAGGATGGCGGCTCCTTTGTCTCACTGTGCTCTCAGTACCAACACCATTTTGTTGTATTAGCTCAAGTGTGTTATTCCATGTTGTGGTTGAGTCCAGTTGTGGGTTGTAACAGGGTTTGATTGCCTCTGCCTAGCATCGCGTGCATGTCCTAGTGTGGAAATAACAAAGCCATGAACTTTAAGGCTCCTTGAAATTATTTAAAGAAGTGCAACTTCATGCGGACTATATAGGTTGCCTGTCATGGTCCTTTCCCTTTTCCTTTCATTTCATGGCCATCGTATAAGAATGGCAAAGGACCAAACCGTTGTGTGTCAGCAAAGTCTCAGTTCTTCTCGGTCCCGGAAGGCGAGCCTTATCAGCAGCCCACGTGATGGTGTCAGTAGCCAGGACCCAGACGGTGCTATTGTGCCCCTGCCTGCGCCCGAGTGACGGATGACAGCGTCTTCTCACTGGAGGAAATGAGGAGGCCAAAGGCGAGCACGGGGCCAGATTAAAAATTTCGGCAAAACCTTGTTCTCGCCCGGCTATCGGCTTCAAAAAGTGCCCAGCATTTCACTCGGACTGACTTGCTTGTTCCGCCAGTCTCTCGGGGCTCATTGTGTTAACTGGGTTAGATAAAGAGAGCCTAATGATGTAGTTTGCTTGAAAGACTGTGAGAGCGTGAACAAAAAAAAAAACAAAAAAAACGGTGTTCAGTGTAACTTGGAGACCCTGAGAGGAGGAAATGAGGTTAGGCCCGTCTGGGTCCCCTGCCCTTTGGCCTCCCGCGGGGCTCATAAATTAGGCTTGTGTAATTCTCCCCCAGACAACCTTGCCCCAGCAGGTGTGTGTTTGTATATATGAGTGCTCACAGGGGATGTACGGGCTGTAATATCTGTGATCTACGGTGTTGGGAATCTAGTTGGGGAGGAAACATGCAACCTAAATAAGCTTATCCTCTCTGCTGCTGTTACAGAGGCGTGGTTTCACCACATAGGATGTGTGGAGCTCTGGATGCTTATATGTCCTGTTATATTTGGACCAACGTGGTTTGTGGATTCATATCTGCGTCAAGGAAATGCTGCCAAGATGGTATTCCCATTTGAAGTTACTATTTAAACTCTTCTTTTATTTTGTTTTGGGTTGATAAAAGCTCCTTATAAGAAATGTCATTTTTGTCAGTAACAACTGAAAAAGAAAGTGATCATTCATGTTTCAGAAGGATTCATTTGCTGAACAACTGAGTATATCTATATTGTCCAGAATTTAGCCTCCCCCCCAAAAAAAGTTAGCCAACTAAATTCCTTTACGAGAGTTTTGAAGGACACAAAAGAAAAACCCGAAGGTTTGTTCAATTTACAAGTAAAACCAACCTGCAATCAACAAATGAATTGATGACAGGTGAAGGTGTCGGTTAGAAAAGGAAAATCAAACGAGACTGCAAGACAGAGTGGCTTAAACTAAAACAATCTATGAAGAATGCAACGAAAAATAAGCATCAGGTGATTTGGAAAGGTGTGTCTGGTTTTATGTTGTAATATTGAGAAAAAGAGCATCAAGGCTGTTACAGTATAAATGCAATGACATGGATACTTTTTAAATACTATTAATACAATGATGCATATTGAAAATTGAGTAAAAGAATATTGAACAATTCAAATGACATTGATTTTCTAATCATTTAAAAAATTAATTAAAAGTAAGGCTGTAATACTCCACTTCAATAGCAGGTTAATTTAAGGCCTGGAGACTATTCTTACTGCCAGTAAGCCAGAGGGAGGGCACACCCTGGATGGATCCACCACAGGGCCCGGTGATAGCCCAAACAAACTGTACATTTTTATATTTTCATTTTAGCAAGGTTATCCCGCAGAACACTGTGTAGCTGCCCTTGACCTCTGACCTTTCTGTTTTACAAGTGTGAGACTGAGAATAGAGGCGTGGCGATGAACAAAATGTAGTACGATCATAAATTACCAAAGACAAGTTTCGAGTCTTTTATAGAGACAAAAAAATAAGCATTCAGCATAAAATTTCAGACATGAGACTTCCGCTTCCTGTCTTTGTGCTTCTCTGTGCATGTTTGTGTGATACTGGAGAGTCAGGGTCTGCCAATGGACAACATCAATCAGTTACAGGCCTTGTGTGTGAGGACCCACCCAGACCCACAGCCCGAAGGCCACATCAAAGCCGTGAGTGACAAGCTTATTAGCACCCATTGTTAAATATTACTCTGGAAAAAATCTTCTATTCAAATCTCTGAGCTTTGTTTTTGTCCTATTCACTCATTTGTTTTTGTACTGCCGCTGTATTTATTTACATATATAAAATGTAAAATAAAATATAAATATATATATATATATTTATATCACAATAGCTCTGATCTTGAGCTCCTAAAAAACACCACAAATATCCAAAGGGTTAGGGTCAATGACAAAATCCCTGATTTTTCCCAACACTATTATAGGGCCTTCTCAATCAGATATAAGGATTAGCTCATAGCTCACACAGACTCTGCTCTTCATGCAGCCTATTCTTGATCTTGGCAGACCTGTGTGGAACACAAAGGGCGGGAGCCTGTGTGCACAGGAAAAACGACAACAACAACGACGAAAACAACGTGACAGATTTCATGCCGCGATATCAGATGGTGCAGACGATAGGCGTTTACGCTCCTATGCTGAACAGACACATGCCCAGAACCACCGGCTGGAATGCAGTCATACGCGCAGATGACTGATGGCTGCTGCATGCGTGCTCCATCAGTCACTGGCCGACACAGGGAGGTCCTGTGCTCCTTGTTGTTGCTGTGTCTAGTCCCTTGTTAGAGAATGGATGACACCGTCTTTGGAAAACAAACACGGCGGGAAGCTAAAAAGGTGGTCACTCACCACGGCTCTCTGACCCAGAGACGCCGGGGCCACGGCTGCATGCGAGCGACGCCCCCCCTGGAATGCGCAGCAGTGTGAGCGTGTGTGCATGCGCTCACCCTCTTGTTTGTGTTTCAGTGATACCACAGCTGGAATGTGACTGTCTTGTGCCTAAATGTGCGCCTTTGTGTGCTTTAGCGTCGGCCTCCCGAGGCAGCAGTGACAACCTGTGCGCAAAAAAAAAAAAAAAGAATCTTGTCACTTTCTTCACTTTTTTTTTTAGGTAAGATAAATGTTCTGCAGTTCGAGGTGAAGGAAACGCACGGAGGGGCGCTTGTGGACGTCTGGCTGGGCGGCTCCATGATGGGAGCAGGACCCGCTCCTCCTCTGGGCACTCTTGTTGCCAGCGGCCACTGCTGTCACTCTTTGCTCTGACTCACACTTCACATCACAGCCCAGACCGTGGCCCCCGGAGCCTCCTCGGTACGTAAACAGCCAAGTCGGCCCCAGGCCCCCGGGCCTTCGTTCTGGGAGCTCAAATCCCTTAATTGCAGGGGCTGACAGTGATAGCTAACACACGAGACACCCTCACCTGGTCGGAAAGAATGAAAACATCTACTGTCAGCGTGAAGGATAGAGATGAGTGGGGGGTGGGAGCCGCTCTGGGGAAAGTGAGTAGCATGCAGGACAAAACAGAAGAGGATGATGGTAACTCTGGGTTCTGTACGAGGATAGGATTAATTTCACAGCTTTTGTTAAGTATTCATTAACAATGAATACGCAGCTTTGTTCATGGTGAGTGTATAGTTTTATGCACTCAAACCATCGTTATTAACCGGGTTTGAAGTATTGTACGGCCAACTGGTGCTACTCAACTGTAACAATGTAAACTGTTGTCTGTTTACACATCTGTCAGATAATGTGAAGCTTTATTTCTGCTGTTTGCTCATCAGTGGATGAACCACTGCAGGAAGTGGACAGAACATTTACGGGTGGATTCACATCACGAAATTAAAAACAAGCCTGCAAAAAGAGATTTAACTGACATAGTAACAAGGTTTCAGACTAATTTTGTAAGTGTCTCAGACAAAAAGGTTATGATTTAGATTATTATGAACAGGGTAAAAAGAAAAAGTAATAAATGTCCAGATCCTTCACTCAGCAGTTGGTTGAAATGTATTTGGAAACAAGGTTGTTGTGAGGAGGATTCTGAAAGCCTGGTGCACCTTTTTGTTTGGAGGTTTCCCCCATGCTTCTTGGCAGACATATTCGGGGAAACATGGTGCTCTGTTCAGTTCTAGACTCTGATCATGTCACTCTAAAACCTCCACAAACTGCTTTGTTTTTCATGGCGTTCTTCCAGCGCTTTATTACAATTCTCCGCTCTTTACTTCGTTTCCCCCATCAGAGAGTCATTAAGGTACCTGTTTGCAAACTCGTGGCAGGTTTTAAGATGCCTGTTAACAACAAAATTGCTTCTCTCTCACTCCAACACAAAGTGGTCTCACATCTCCTCAAATTATATTTGGGAGGAGCTCACAAGGACCTCTGATGGACCTTTGAATCAAACATGTTTAAGTGACTCCAGTTGGGATGAAGAAACTGGAATGTAGATGGGGAATGTAAAATTAACCCAAAGTCAGGAAAGAAAAAGTTTGGAAAAATTGACTCAACATATTTTTAGAATATATTGTTTGACTGTCAATAACAGTGTGTCTTAAATTTCCCTTCAACGATTTAAACTACCCCTAATTATAAATTGAGGAAAACAGCTCTTTAGTTTTTTGTGTATTTTATTGTTGCAGTATTGCAATTCCTTCCTGTCTTGCTTTACTGATGGCCAATACTCTTCCTTCCACTTTCAGGCTCACCCTGCCTCTTTTCCTGGATACTATTTGTGAAGCGGATTGTAACTGAGAAAAGGTAATTCAATCTCTAAACTAGTTTCTTTATGTCAGATTGATGTGTTTTATTTGCAAAAAGGGTTCAAATGCAAATGAAGGTTAAAAACAGATTTGATATATTTTTGGAGAAAATGTTTTAAAAGAAATTTGTGACTTTTCTAATTCTTAAAATGACAAATATGCCTGTTCTTCCATATTATTTTTCTCTTTTTGTTCTATTCAAGTAACTTTGAAGAGCGGCTGTGGTTCAAGAGTAAAGAGCAGTTGCCCACTGATTAGAGGGTCAGTGGTTCAACCCCATGTTCCTCCAGACCACATGTCGAAGAGTCCTTGGTCAAGTTGCCTACTTGTGTGTGTGTGAATGAATGACACGCAATATAAAGCACTTTGAGTAGTCAGCTCGGCTGGAAAAGTGCTATCTAAATACATTTACAAATGCTAGATGCCATATTCATCCAGTAAACCCTCTGTGTGGGATCCCCAACTGAGAAAGAAATGCTTCTTTATTTGTCCGCCTATATATCAAACTCAGTTAAAGGTGAAGGCAAATATGTACCTCACGACTTAGTAAGCAGGCCTCATCCTTTACACCAACATTTACCAGACTCCCGTTATTAGTTAACACTGAATTGAACTGAGCTGCTGTCCCAGAGGAGAAGAGCAGGCTGGACAGGCCTTCATTTATCAACCACTTCAGCTCCTGCAGACAGCTGTGGGGAGAGCACAGAGGAGCCAGCGTGTTTACATCATATCTCAGCCGCTCTCAGGACAGAACGGATGAAGATACTTACCCATGCATTTAAACAGCTTCATGTCCAGCAGTTTGGAGTCTACTCCGTCTGTTCAGCTGGGGCTCAGACTGACATTTGTGATGTAATGCCTGCCCCTCAAATCTGGAGACAGACCTTGCACTGAGCCGTGTGGAGACCTGTGTGAGTTATCTCTTCTGAAAATGTCAGTAATCCCACTCTGCATAACCCATTGATCTTGTTGCTCCAGTCTGTTTTGAGCTCACCAGCTCTCCTGGGGTCGTGGCACCACCCTGTGGCAGCTCCTTTACTTGCAGTGGAAACTCTGAACGGCCGCCATTTGCTGTGAGACCTGTCAGTCAAAGGACAGATACCTTCATTGGTCCAGAGCCCGGGGGTGTGCGCTCCGTTGAACTTTGACCTGACATGTATCCGTGCTGAGATCAGAGGCAAAACAGATTCCCATTGGTTAATCCACTCACGCCCATTTCACAGCCCCTAAATCGAAGGTGAAGGTGAAGCGTTCTTAACATCCCGTTAGCTAGCAGCCTGGGACACAGCTCACCGAACCCGCAGCCTGTTTTACGACAACAAACAAACTAAAACAAAAATGTCCGTATTTTCCGAGGTCCCACAAGCAGCTCCCGTTGCTGTTTTTAAGCTAAGCCAGGACTTTGCCAACGACCAGTTTCCTAATAAGGTGAACCTCGGAGTGGGAGGTAAGTGGCTGTTCGAGAGTTAGCCATGGCAACGGTAACCCTGAGCAACGGGCCGGCCTGTTGCGTTCGGGGGTCTGCGGCTTCAGGACTTTCGGGAATTTAGAGACTTTTATGATTTTGTTTCCAGTTCAAGCACCTCCCCTGTGAACTTATCCCTTACTTTTAACAGGGGGACCTTATTTTTTTAAAATGATATTTTTATCGCTAAACTTTGCTGTTTGCATGACACATGCAGAACCTCCACTTTTCAGGTGCAGTAATGTAAAAGCTTTAGTACATCACTTATGTACTGTAGCTGTCGTTTTTACCCGCAGAGTACAGAATCTGGCATGGTATCATCAATAGTTCTTTGGCATGTAAAGATAAGGCACAATGAACTCAGTCACTCTTCCTGCCCCTCTTTTCTAGTTCCCCCTCTTTCTCTTCCATCTACTGCTAATCTACAAGATAACCTCTGGTTCTGTGGACATTTGATTGGATTACACTCAGTTTCCTTACACAAGATCATGCAATTTGCAGGAGTTAAATTATGTATGGATTTTTTGGCCTTCGTCATCTTGAGAGCATGCAAGTGACATATTTGAATGACCGCAACAAGCATTTTTTTGTGTTAATCTTTTTGCAAATCTGACTATGTCAGAGAATAGAGTGAGAAACAATGTGTCGCTCTGTTGCAGCGGCACAAGGCCATGTGAGTCCCGTGATTAGCACTGAAAGCTGAGGCCCTGTAATCCCCATCCCTCTGCAAGACACACAACACTGCAGATGGTCAAATGCTACTGCGCAGCTGGTAAATGTAGGCCACAGGCTGTCCACGGCTACTTGCACTCAAAGTCTTTTTCGAAGCTTAAACACGTAGTGTGTTAAACCATACGATGATGAGAAAAATGCATCAGCAAGGCTATTAATGTACAATTTTTACCCTAATAATAGCTTCAGTTATGATTCACTGCTTTACTTTTTATTAAAATATCATTAAATTAATATATATATATTTTTTTTTTTACATACTGATATTGGACTATTTTTCATCAAACACCTAGTCTGTGTTTTTTCTGCCCATACATGTATGATAAAAATGAGAAAGGGTGTGTGTGTGTGTAGGTATGTGAAGGGGGGGGATGTTTGCTTGTTTTGCTACTGATTGCGAAGCAAGTTGATGATTTGTTCTGGGGTAAAGATGTTATTGAATACTTAACTCCTTATCAGGTCATGACACAGCTTGTAGCAGGCAAAACCACACAACAGATGAAAGTGCGTGTCGGTTCCAAAGTCTTTCAGGCTCAGCTTCGCATTTCTGCCTCAAATATCTAATTTTAATATATTTGATTTAATATATATAAATATATTTACTATATTTTAACATATTTGAACCAGTCCAAATTAGTGATTAAGATAAAACAATTTGGCTTTTAGTAACTTTATATATGAAGATCTGAAATCAGTCTATATACCTTATTGTGAGTCATAGTTCTGCTCTCAAATTATTTTTCTCACCACATTTTGATAAAATACACTAAAAAAAGGCGTTCCTTCTGAGTGAAAGGATGCACATCAGGATTTTTTGTTCTGCAAAAAAGCTTTTTACTGATAATAATCGGTTGGTATGTAACTAAAGAAGGAGCCCTGTAGCTTCAAACTGTAACCTGAATTCCTAACCTGAACTCAAACCCTAATTTCATGTTGTTTGCAGCCTACAGGACAGATGAAGGCAAGCCCTGGGTTTTGCCAGTAGTGAAAAAGGTGGAAAAGATCATTGTGCACGATGACAGGTTAAACCACGAGTACCTGCCCATCCTGGGCCTGCCAGAGTTCAGATCCTCTGCCTCCAAGATCGCCCTGGGAGATGACAGTCCTGCTATCCAGCAAGACAGGGTTAGTGCTGCAAAAGGGCCAAATCTGCCTGCTGATTGCTGTTCAAACTGACTCTCTTCTGCTGTTTGGTCCAGGTGGGAGCTGTCCAGTGTCTGGGAGGTACTGGTGCTTTGAAGATGGGTGCTGAGTTTCTCAGGCGGTTCTACAACGGAAACAACAACACAAAAACACCAGTCTATGTGTCTGCACCTACTTGGGGTAAAACCACTCATATCTATAAATAAGGTCATAACAGGGTGGAGGTGAACCTGCCTCCTAAGGACAGGAAACTCATTCAAGGGCCTTTATTGCTTAACAAAAATAGCTCAGCATTCTATTTAGACTTTAGACTCTGGATGTCATCCAGGCTTTATGTTAGTAAGCATCCTGTTATTATCACGTTATCAGTAATCTTGTGTGTTTTTTTATCAGATTGGATGTGAGAATAAACCAATAAACCAATCATCCCCTTGAAGTAAAAGAACAGCGGTATCAGTTTTGCTCTCTGGTATTTTCAGAAAATCATAATGCTGTATTCAGCAATGCCGGCTTTGATGATGTCCGTCCGTACAAATACTGGAACCCGGAGAAGAGAGGTCTTGATTTGGCTGGTTTTCTCGGTGACCTGGAGGTACACATTGAAATGACTTAGCTTCGGCCGTTGTAAATGGGAGTTTACAGGATGTGTTAGGTATTTTTTTTCTTACTCCCGTCCCTGCAGAATTGTCCAGAGCACTCAATCTTTGTCCTGCACGCCTGTGCCCACAACCCAACTGGAACAGACCCCACACAGGAGCAGTGGAAGCAAATAGCTGAAGTTATGATGGTGTGACACAATACATATGCAATACAGTTAACGTTTCATATCCAGTGTGAGCCAGAGGCTGATCAATCAGTTGACTTATTTTTCCTTCTTTTTTTTCTCCTCTAGAGGAGGAAGCTGTTTGCATTCTTCGACTCGGCCTATCAAGGATTCGCCTCGGGCAATCTGGAGAAAGACGCCTGGGCCGTTCGTTACTTCGTCTCCTTGGGCTTTGAAATGTTCTGTGCTCAGTCGTTCTCCAAGAACTTTGGTCTCTACAGTGAGTTGCCCCTGGGTTCCCTGAGACACCTACGCAGAAACAATGAATTTATGTGGAAGACTTGGCTAATTGTTCACAACAATCCTCGTGTTATCCCAGCAGGCGGAGCTGTTTATCCAATCAGAAACTCAGATACCATCCTGTACTATTTTTCTGAAAGGTTCCAGCAAAAGTGGATCCTCAAAAACTAACAGGTGCACCGTTGTTTTGCCTGTCAAATATGTTTTTCCCCTCAGACGAGCGTGTGGGCAACCTGACAATTGTGGCTCGTGATGCAGACAGCCTGAAGAAAGTCCTTTCCCAGATGGAGAAGATTGTCAGGACCACCTGGTCCAATCCGCCGTCTCAGGGAGCTCGCATTGTAGCAGTCACCCTAAACTCAGCGGAGCTCTTTGCTGAATGGTCAGCCCCAAGTTTAATTAAAAGATGTGCATGAGTCACAGCAGTCAGAAATAAAGCAAATAGACCATTTTTTTGTTCTTTTTTTATAAACCTTAGGAAGGACAACGTCAAGACCATGGCTGACAGGGTCTTGCTGATGAGGGCTCAGCTGAAAGCCAAACTTCAAGCTTTGGGCACACCTGGGACCTGGGACCACATCACAGACCAGATTGGCATGTTCAGCTTCACAGGACTGAACAGTGAGTTGAGAGATCTAAGCATGGCTCACATTCATGTCTCGGCAGGACCACCAAACACCCACCAGCAATTACGTCCAGCTCCGCAGAATGGGAATGACTGTGCTGAATTTCTTTGCAGCCAAACAAGTGGAATACATGGTGAAGGAGAAGCACATCTACCTAATGGCCAGCGGGCGCATCAACATGTGTGGTCTGACCAGCAAGAACATCGACTACGTGGCGGAATCCATCCACCAGGCTGTCACCCAGGTGCAGTAGAAGAATATTCTGACAGCCCCCACCACATCCTGCTGCTTGGTCCTGAGCCTCCCTGACCCCAGGGACACCATTTGTTCCCAGAAGGTTTGATGGCACAGATAGAAATAGCTGTAAGTTGTTGTTCGCACAATCACACAAAGAGCTCACCTCTTCCGTTTCTCCTGCCTGTCAGTGATTGTTTTCAGCACAGCTAAACACACGCTGGACAAAGATGTGCTAGTTATCTTTCTTCTCATGCAACCCTTAATTACTTTTCAAGTTTAGTAATATAATAATGTTGATGATTTTTTAGTCTGATTTAGTTACATGTGCCGGTCAACTTCCTACAATGTTTCTCTGTCACATTCTGTGTTATTAATTAATGTAAGGACCTTTGACAGGGTTAGTAAGTCTGTGACTGTGACTTCAGCTGTGCTGACTCTGATGTAAAAAAAAAAGTTAAATGTTTTAGTGATTCCTTTATTCCCACTGTGAAATTGTTTCAAAGAAATGAAAACAGGACCAAACTGTCTCAGTTTAGCTATCAGAGAAAAATTAAAGCTGTTCTTAATGTTTACTCCACTTACTAAACATGACTGAATAAATTAAATGTAAAATGTCTCAGGAATAAATTTTAATTTTTTAAGGATGATGTATTTCCATCAATGGGTTTATTCAAATCATGTTAATGAAGTCTTTTTCTTCCAGTCTGTAATGCTGGGTGCTCCTGATAGGACTCACAGCTGTGTCCTTAAGCTGCTCAGCTGAATAGTTGGATATTTCCAGTTCTGTCACGTTCCAGCAAGTGTATGTTGACTCTTCATGTACTAGTGCACTCTTATGCAAGATTCGCATCAAAAGCTCGACCAGTTTTTCTGTTCCATCTCCATATATACAGTGTTTAGGATGAGTTCATTTCTCCAATAAAGAACTGTCTATGTTCTGTTTGCATCATTTATAAATATATTGCAGTTGATAAGTTCATATTTCTGCAGCAGTGTGAACAAATCAATGTGTAGAAAGAAAATGTTTTGGTCAAGCATTAAATTGGGAAAACACAAATTATAGTGATAAGGTAAAAATGACAAGATTAATGGTTCAGAAATGTTTTTTTAATTCATATCATTAGGCCTTTAGATCATCTGGCATGTTTCATATCTCTGTATAACATATATAGTCATCTGAATTCTACATATAAAACTAACTTCCCTCGTGTACTCTAAACAAACAGCAGATCTGTCTTAACAAATATGAAGCAATGTGAGCCCACTGCAGATTCTTTCAGAGTGTTTCTGCTTAGAGTCTGTGACTCAAACAAATCCCCTAAGTCTGATTCGGCCGTCGGATCAAAAAGATCCCCCCCCCTTGTTCTGTGTGTGCGATGGCGATCATTGTGTTTAGCTTAGCAGTGCAGTATCCTTTGCACTTATGCAGCCTCGCCAGGCAGAGTGAATCAAATCGCCGAGTGTCCCCAAACACCACCTGCGTGTGCGTGTGTGTTTGGAGGGAGGCGGTGGCTTGACGTCAGTGTGTGTGTCATATTGCTTTCATCTGTCAAGTGTCTGCCTTTCTGTTTGGCGAAAGCCATGTATATGCCAAGATTTCAAGATTCTGAGCAGCTTAACTCGCCATGGAAATTTGAAAATAAATCAAATATTCATCTCATTATTGCCTTTGTACGTGATGTTTTTGAGGAACGGCTTTAAGTTTGCTTCCATTGAACAGCACATCACTGCGGCCCCATCCCCTTGTGACTCATTAGCAAACCCCTGAAGTATTTATACTTAAACTTCAGGCCGCAGTCCAATCTACACCTGCTTTTGATTTTTTATCCTTTTGAAAAAATGCCCCAGACCTCCCATTCGTGGAGAGAGTGCAGTGCAAATCGGTAAAATCGCTCTAAATATTCATTGACCTTTTACATAAGCATGCATATGGTAAAACAGGGCTTTCTATGGGGATTTGTATGAGTTAAAAGCAGCATAAACAAACATGCAAGAGGCAGCTACTTCTAGAATATTCATTGCATTTCCATATTCAGAGAGCCGGAACCCACAAATCTATCCATCTTATTTGCAGCTCCAGCGACTGAGCCTGTAAGGGATGGATCGCACATATTAAACTCACAGATACATATTAGATGGAGGTGGTTAAATTCACCAGCATTACTGACAAAGTTTTGATAAACACAATTTAACATCACTTAGGATTTCTTTTTTCTCAAATCAGAGAAAGTAGGTGGAAAGGTGAGGGTGTTTGTTCAATAGAAAAGAAAGAGGCGTGTCTCTGCAGCTACATATTGAGAGAAAGAGAATGTCTTAATCCACAGAAATCCTGTATTTCTTGTATGTGCGCACTTCCCACATATGTAAGAAACTTGGGTTTAAGTTGGAGTGATGCACTTTTGATAAAAACATATGTGCTAGAGTACAGTCATTTACAGTGTTTGAGATGATATGCATTGTTATGTCTTAATATCATTTTGTAATCCTGACATCCTATATCAAAATCAGGTAACAAACTGCTCTTTTTTCTGTCCAACAGACGCATCCATTTCATTCAATAAGTAGTCATCAAAGAGCCTGTTATTCTATGGCTTTGTTTGTGACGGTGTTTGTTATTTATCTGAGGGTATTGTGCTTCTGTGCTGAGTTGTGGTGGCTTTATCCTCTTAATATTTTGTGTTCTGTTGTGCTGGCAGTAGATGGCGACCTTTTGGCAACATCAGGACAGTTCCCTGTGCAAACGTTTTTGGTGTGTGGGACCTGCCTCACCGTAAGTTCTGAAATAGAAATACACTCAGTGTTTGATCAAGTAAAAAGGTAAAGCTGGCTCGTCTAAGACCTTGTTGGGCTCAGTATTAAAAGGTGCGATCAACACTATGTGGACACAGCTTTAAAAAACAGCAGTAACATGATGGATATGAATACTATGACAAGGTTTGCACCTTGAGCTACCAACGTGATTAAAACCAATTGGAATCCATTCAGTTTAGTGTAAGGCTGGATAAATCTGTTGTTTTGATTGGTTGCTCAGAATCAGGCGGAAAAGGGGTCAGAGTGATTAGAGGGTGTCCTGAGTATCGTCGATGGCTATGGCAGATGGGATGGCTCAGTCTCTTGTGAGAGCAGAGTTGGAGCGTCAAGGGAGCCAGAAGAGGTGATAGTTAATGGGGTTGCTGAGCGAATGATGAAAAGGAGGAGGCGTGCTTCACCGCTCCTCTGTGTCGCTGTACTAGCTGGTCACCGGCGACTGCTCTGATTCCTCCTCCAAACTCTTTTCTTCACTCCGAGACTTTTTCCTCCTCTTGTTACCTAGAAACGGAGGAGGATATGCTGAAACTCTGCAGTGCCTGTGCTGCTGTGAGAGTTCATTTTTTATTCCCTTCTGAAATTTTTTCTAACCTTCTCAACATTTGTCATTGGTAGGACATCAGCTGTCTACAATAGCACATCAATGGCCATATATATAGCTTAAAGAAGAGAACAGAATTGTGTAACTGTGCCAGCGAGGACTGCGGCATATGGAAGATGTGCTCTGCAGGTTGCTGAGAAGGACACGAAATGTCACCTGTTGCTAAGGTACACTATTGCTGTGACTGACAGAAAAGTTCAAGCACATCTGACGACACGCGTGGGTGAGCTGCTGTATTTGTGCTCATGAGAAATTGCTCACTCACTTAATTTATACAAGATCTTCTTTCCAATGTTCTCCTCTGAGCTGGACAGAGACAGAGAGCTAATGAAGGGAGAGGTGGACGGCTCATCTGCAGCAGACAGTTTGGAGCAGAAAAAGGGGTGCAGTGTTAGCAGTTATTGTGCATCTGCACAAAAGAGGCACTGGAAGCAGAACATATGGAGCTGAATTTACCATTGTCTCCAGAACTTTCTGGCCGGTCCTCTTGGATGTAGGGAATCTCCTCCATACGAAGGAACACTGCGTCATTTGGACTCCTCTGCCCATCAGATTTACTGCCTGTGACGACAAAATCAAACCAATAAACCCAAATGCCAGTGCAGCCGCAGCATTTTTGTGTCTCCACTAATTAAAAAAAATGAAGACCTCCATTTTTATTTTCTCTTTGGGTTAAACCTAAGGTTAAACGTGTGTCAGATTTAGATTGGAGACTGAAGATGAGTACCGGTGAAAAGGATTTAACCAGTTAATCTCAAGTGTAGTGCTTGAGCAATGGTTGTGACAGAATAAGCTACTTTCTTATTATTATTATTGTGGAGGAGCAGTGGAACCATCTGTATCTGATTTTTCTTAATGACGCAAACAGAAACAGAGTGAACAATCTAGAACAATACAGATGGTTTGAAATCTCATAAGCCTTGAAATGAGCACAGATTTGTTTGTGCCACACTCACACATGCCCCTAAACAGGTCAGTCTTCCATCAATCAATCCATCCATCCATCCATCCATTCATTCTTTATGTCCAATCCTGGACAAGTGTTTGAGATATAGTAAGAAATAACTCAAATTAATTGATTTTCAGTGTTCTGGCTGTTGAAGTGGATTTTAAACAGAAACAACAAAACTCTAACTCAATTTCATTCAACTGGTATTACTGGTTTAAACAAAGGAAAATACAAATGTGGGGCAAAGACCTACAGTGGATGAAAGTGAGCAACAGAGTCCAAAACTCATATAAGTTTCTGGGTACATGGTGTGTGGAAGAATTTCAAAATAAAAAGGTATATATTTGATCAGAAATGTTATTAGTGGCTGGGTAAATAATGATCACAGGCCTGTTGAGATTTGACGGTGCTGCTAGGGGAATCATTATCCCAGATTAAAAAATGAGGTCACTTTTAACTACCGGTAAGTCTCTTTCTGTCTTGGTAATGCGACAATTTTTATACTTCTTAGAAAATTAATTCAGAGCCTACTCAAGATTTTTCGTGTAAAGCAACATCTGGAACTTGAAATTTGGACCTTCACCCTAAATTTCTCAGGTTCAGTCAGTTTGTTGGACTTGTTGGTGCGTGCTGTAAAAGCAGATACTCACGGACGATGCGGTTTCTTTCGTTGAGCTGGGAGGTGTTACGAAGGCCACCGTGGGGATGGAGGTGTGCAAGGCGGGCCAACCCCATCCGAGTGTGTGTGCTCACGAGGGGAAAGGCGATGCTTTTTGAGCGAGCCTCCGGGACCGGAGGTCTCCCTTTAGCCTCAGCATCCACAGCATCTGGTGTTTGAGGGGAGCTGTCCATCCGGGTGGCCGTTACTGCATTCTGGTAGTGGTTCCTGGTGATCTGTGGGTAGTCGAAATGTTAGAGTTATCATCAGTATTGCCTCAGTGTTTGGATGCTTGACTGCCCTTTTAAGTAGTTTTAAGGAGGAAATGAATGGACTGAATTTGAGGTGAAGTGAGAGGGCACATCCTTCACATAAGGCAAATATATTCATGCTTGAAATGGAGCTCAATTATTCCCAGTGATTAAAGGAAAGACTGTGTGGAGAGGCAGGATGTCTGTGTTCAGTCAGAATGGGGGATTATGACATATCAAAGGCAAAAGCTTGCAGAGAAGCAAGAGAGCACGTTCTCAGAAATTTTAAAGATTAAATAGGGGAAGCTTAACAATGTGGTTTCATCTTTATGGTCTCAAATTATTGCCCACAGAGTACAGGAAATTCTGGATTTAATTGAGTTCATAATAACAGGAAAGTGGTGGTTTAATTGAGTTTATAATGATAGTTTTATTTAGTGTGTTTCTGTTTAGTGTTTAGGTATTTATCTGCGGAACCTTGATGATCTGCAGGTCTGTTAGTTGTCGGACTGAGTAGTCTGGCAAATAGAGCCCTCCTCCCGTTGTGAGCTGACCCACGCTGCCTCCGCTCAGTAATGAATCCGACTGGTTCAGGCCACTGCCCCGGGAGCTATACCTGTGAGCTGAGCAGTGCAAGAAAACACAAGAAAATGTTCATTTAGCTGTTATTTCTGTTGGTTCAAATGTGATCAGATATGGTAAATGTACTTAATTATTCATATACACAATCTGGAGAGTTTTTTGGCCCCTTAATGTCTTCCACATTTTGTTTCAAGCTCACTCCAAAATCTGCAGATTTTCATAACGTAATCAAAAGAAAAACAACCCCTCAAAGTCAAACCTTACCCCAGTGTATTTCTCCTATGGAAATCTTTGCAGAGATTTCTATATAATGAAGATGGATGAGGAGCATTGATACAGCCATGTGTAAGTATCTCATGCTACTTGTCTTTTGGCCCAGATTCTGGCTGGGCTTTTGTCATCTTTTCATACATCTGTCACAGGTAGAATGCACAAGACATGCACACGTATATGCTTTTTTATTGTATGGAATGGTGTATAAACTGAGGAGAGATAAAGACAATTAATTCAAAGGACGACTGAAACAAATTATGAAAGCTCAGTATCTGGACCTTTTTTCACGTCAAAGAGTTTTTAAAAATATGTGCATGGCTCTCAAACATGTCCATATGATTATTATTATGTGATTATTACCTCCAGTTTAAAATGGTAACTTCAGTAAAGAGGCTTGGAAATAGTAAAATGGAGTCATACATAGGTGATGCATCCCACAATTTAAACACCATTATTTTACATTTACATTTAATGCTTTATGTGTATTGGAAATCCTGTAATTTCACCATTTGTGAGAATGTAGGACAGTTACACATATCTAAAAAAAACTGCCATGATTTTGAAACGGCAGACATGGAAATGTAATAAATCTGCTCAAAACGAATTGCCGCACACCCTGATGTGAGACAGCTCTACTAGAAAAATCAGGGGAAACACTGGAACTTCGTCACTCACTTGAGCACTGCTCAGCTAAATTTTCTAGTCAAATCCAAAGGGGAGACTCAGATTGGAAGGACACTTCCCAAGCTGCTTAAGGATAAATTCTTTAATGTGTAACGTCCAAAGAGGTAGTTTTTGAATATTTAATGGGAAAGCTTTAAGCTCAGTCTGAGCATCTGACGTTTAAAATGGGCTCAGAAATTAGAGAAAGTGATGGGCTTTCTGCTTACGCTGCAGTCTTAGCTGGATTTCATCTAATCCTGCGCAGGGCAAGTCCTTCCACTGGGAAATTCTCAGAATTCACTTCTTTTAATTACTTTTTCCCCACAGCTTCTGCTGCAGCCTGAAGCAGCTGACAGACATTCGGTGTTGTTAAAGTATAATAACCACACACTACTGAGGCCGCTCCCGATTGTGCTGCCTGTTATCATCCCTGTGACTTTCATTAAGTCCACAAGAACTATATATAGAATGGAGCAACTTACCATAGGGCAGGGGTTGAATGAGTGCTGGCATTCCAAAGTAGGAAAAGGCTCCGTTTTCAAACCGAAGAGCTTCTTTTCCTACCTCCACCTCCACCCGTCCCTGCAACATGATCACAGCCAATTTAATGGATGTGGTCTGAGTTGTATGCTTATTAGATGAAAAAAGTTTTGATTAGTCATCTCACTGAACCCCTGACAGGAATTATGCATAAAACAAGGTTAGAACATACATTCATACTTTTAAATTCATTTTACAGCTTGTGAGTTCGGTTTACCTGCAGGACCAGGATGAAGTAGTCCACTGGTTTGTTCCTCTGATAGAGGTAGTGTTGGGGAGCATGTTTGATTTTGGGGTTGAATTTGAGATCCTGCACCACGCTGGGATGTTTGATAAGACGCAGCAGGATCTTGTCTGACAGGTGACACAGCCTGAAAGGCTCCACCTCTACAAAACCACCACATGAGAACCGACAGTCAGAAGAACAATGTTCCCCACTGCGTTTCTTCGCGAATGATTTTTCATTTTTAGCAACAACAAAAAAATCTGACAAAATCACCTGTAGCCAAGAAGCGGTGTGTGGCGAGCAGCAGCTGGGGAGAGATCTTCACCTTCAGCTCATTTTCTGCCATTTTGAAGATGGAGAAGTCTTGTTGCTTCCTTTCATGGTTGGACACTCGCCTCTTGTTTCGATTGTCAGCTATTAAAACACACAGACTGCAAATCATTACAATTGTAAGTAACACTCATCAGATGCAAGTTTTTTTCTTATATGCTCTGATTAAAGGAATGGAAGTAAATGTGTGCCTTATTGTTGCTGTGTAGGTTCTGCATTGTTTTTTATTTGTTTTTATTTTTTTGCACAGTCCCCACTACGCAGCTACTAGAGGACCCCTCGCCATCACTGAATATGCTGCATTATTTGTATATTTTGACACAGCTGCTAACAGATTGCTGTGAACACCTCACACTGATAAATTCACTTATCCTCTTCAGATGGGAGGAGTATTAGATATATAATAATCCATTAAATACAGTGAAGATGAAATAGGAACAGCTGGTCCTGTGTGTAAAGTCTGCAAAGATTAACTGGCTGTGCTATGTACACACACACTAACAAGCAGACACAGACACGCAGGAGGTAAAATGATGAATTCCTGCACAGGTACACCGGTGACACACTTTGCATGTAATTAAAACTTTGGCACACTTCAGATTTTAAGTTCCTGTGTTCCAGTATTGGGTGCTTTTGTGGTACTTGGATGGTAAAACGTGCAGCAACAGCAGTAGCAGGGAAGAAAAGATTAGATATCAGAAGAAGGGAGGACCGCTCTCTCAAGCCCCTTTCAGCCAATTAAAATTTAGCGGTCTTTAAATTGGGGTCATTAACGCACATTATTTGATTAATTATGCACCAGAACAGTGACGGGGACAACAGCGCAGGGAGGAGGGAATCAGTCATTTGAATTTGTGAAAATAGGAGAGTAGATGTTAATATGAGAACAACATTCACTAAAGCTCATTCATTCAAATTGTTCACAGAGCCCAATTTTGTGTTGGAATTGGAGATTATAGTGTATTCTGCTAAATAACATGTTATTGCAGGCCATGGTCACCATCTTGTGGTTTTGACAATGTCCAGAAAGCTGAACAAACTTTGTCAGCTGTGATAATACAATGAGCAAGACAGCATGAAATAACAAAAGTGAGGCCAATCCTGTATGCTTAATGATTGTGTTTATACGTACTGTACAGGTCAGTTTCATCCACAATCTCAGACTTGATGATCTCCTCAATAACGTCCTCCAGGGTTACGATGCCCATCACTTCATAGAAAGGGTCTCCCTCGCCTTCGCTGTTTACTCTCTGCACCACAGCCAGGTGAGACTTGCCTGCATTCATTGGAAAAGAAAAAAAAAACAATCTGAGTGATCATTTCAGTTGGAGAGATAATGTCACTGCTTATGAAAAACTCTTGCCAACGGCTTCCCAACTGGAAATGTGCAGCTAAAAAGAAAATCAACAGCTTGCCTGAAGCTGAGAGACCATGAACACATAAAGGGATTTCAGAGAATGAAGTCAAAAATGTTCTCTCTTGAGTTCTCAGATGAGATCCGCGTAAAATTTAAGGGATTAGCCTGGAGACGTGTTGGGCCGTTTTGAAGGCTTGACCCCCTTTATGTAAACGCTGAGGTTACGCAATCGGTCTGGGGAGGCCTGCATCTGTCGAATTAAGTGCCCGTGCTGCTGCCACCTCTGTAAACACAGCCCATCCATTCTGTACACATCCATGAGCAAACCTCCCACACAGTAGCCTTTTCTCATGATGTGTAGCCGAGCACGACAAGCTTGCCGGATAAAATGACACAGCGCGCCAGCAGCATTGCTGTGTAGAGTCGATAAAGCCGATGTGACAAGAACTCAACATTGCCCCCAACCTTACATATCCTGGGGAGGAGTGTCACATAGGGTTGCACAAGTTGCAGCACAAGCAAGTTATTCCACAGAGGTTCTGTCAAATTCACCCAAAAACTGATATTTATGACTAAATCTGAAATCACACGTTCTGTACGTTGTTTGTAATTATTTTGCTTTAGTCTCTCTTTGTGCTACCATCAACTCATTGGACAGCTTGGTGGTGAGCAAAGTTATCTAACCAAACAGATGACGTCGCCGGTGCTTAGATTTTTTACCAGGGACATGTAAACAATCACCAGCCTTACTTTGAGCAAAATCAGTGGCTCCTGTTGTAGGAGATGGGCCGATTTAGGGGATCACTGCCAGGGGATAAAATGGATCAACCGCTTTAATCCAGTCCAACAAGAAGAAATAAATATTCTGATTGACTGACGGGCAGCCATCCCCGCATGTCAAACTGTTCCCGTGTGAGATTGGCTGAGACAGAAGGGCGTGCTGTGCCCGGCGCAGCTTCTCTGAAGAGCACAGGTGAGTCAGAGGAGGATTTGCCCTCGGCTGCTGATGCACTCCGGCAGTGCATTACATCATTCATTTGTTACATAACACCATCGCAGCAGAACGGCGCACACTTGCCAGACTCACACATACAGACACACATGGTGTGGGGTGAAACCAGGTTTTCTGTGGATGTCCTTTTTGCAAATCAGTATTTTCCAGACTCTAGTCAACGGTAGAAAACCCCTTTGTAATATTAGAGTCCACATGTGTGCATCTAAACACATAATTTGTGTTTTCTGCAACAGTGTGACCATGCACAGATGGAACTCTACAGTTTGCATACATCTTTTCCGAATGTTTCATGTGTTTTTCATCACTTAAATAAAATAAATCATGTTCACAAGGCAATAAATAAGTGTCATTTATGAGCAGGGCACTCAAGCTCTTTATATGATGAGCAAAGAAAGGTGGTCAGGTCAATGTTCAGGCATTTTTGAGGCTTTGGCCTCAAAAAGTCAACCAGTTTTTGCAGAAGTGAAGATGTACTACTAAAGAATAATAGATTTATTGAATAACAGGGACCCCTTCCTGCTCCTGAACCAAAAGAGTGCAGATTAAAATAAACTTGCAGTGGGTCTTTTCAATGATTTTCTGTTTGTCTACATCCTTAAAAAGGACATCCAGCCAATAATGTCTTCCTCCTCCACACATCTTGGGATTCAAAGTGGGGATGTGTGTCTATTAATGGCCCAGACACAGCCCGATCCATTCACCGGATATCATTCATTTTAATCCCTCCACAGAGGAGAGTATCTCTCTATGTATTTATTGGATCTCTTTGATGTTTAAGTTAGTGGACTTTGTAAACTAAAGGTCAGGTTTTCTCATATATTTTGTTATGTTTTTATTTCTAACAATTTTTGTTAGCACTGTTAAGACTGGTCTCACTGTCTGATCCAAAGTTGATCACTAATCCAAATATCAGAGATATCTTACACACTTTTATTTTAGATTAATATAATTTTGGTCCAGTTTTATCTGTATAGTATCTTTAGGCTTGGAAGATTGAAGAGATAATGTAGTTTTACTTTAATTTCTAGATTTCTTCAATTTTTGTGAAACAGGCTTGAGTTTAGTTCTAAGTTAAACAAAAATGTGAATTTTTTTCTAAAGAAACCAAAAGAAAAGTCTTATCTATAGTTACATCATTGTGAAGTGTTTGAAAACATATGCATATATATCAATAAAAATAATACAATATTCAAGGCTCAAATTATTTTTAAAATTCCCGTTTGCAAACACCAGGATCTGTGATGGTTAAGGGGGGATGCATCAGAAACAAATGCAAGCAATTTAAGCCTTTTGTACCATCATGCAAAAAACGCCATAGTGCACACGCTAGATTGTAACAGGATCCTTCTGTATAAGAATCGGAGCGTTTAACCAGCCTGCCAGCAGTCCATACCCATCACCCACTAAAAATATTTGGGGCATGATGAAATGAGAAATATAACATAGGAGGGCCCCTAATCGCTGAGCTACTGACATCTGATATCAAGGAAGAATGGGAAAATGTTCTGCTTCCTGACAACAGTTGGTAAAAATTCTACTTAACGTCACCTTTGTACTTTTTTCATGGGGTTCAAATGTCCCAAGTGTTTTGTAAACAGGTTTGCCTATGACATAATGAACTATGCTGTGCATAAATTGACAGTGTATACATTCCAGAAAGCCATCTAAATGATACAAATCCTTTCATTATCCTTCCTGTTCTGTTCAGTTGAGAATCTCTTAATTAAGAGGTGACATTTGGATTCTCTGTCTAAATGCGGAGCTAACCCTTGCCCATCTCTCCGCTCTCAGCGGGGCATCATCACAGCTCCCAGCTGGGCTTCCTGAGCTGCGGGAGCCCCCAGTCCCTGAGAGCGCGCGCAGGAGTGGGACGGAAAGGTAAGGGCTGAATTTTTCATGGCTTCTCTGCAGGCTAGGAGGAGTGTGACCTACAGAGAGGGGAGACTTCAAAGTCACGGTGGGCTGACAATTAAACGCACAGTAACGTTGTAAGGGTGAAGTCTGACTTAACCTTTCACGCTATTTCAATCGACGCAAACTGGAAATCGCGGGTCAGACGTCAGCAGGTGGATTTGAACCCAAACCATCTGTCAATATCCTGAGCCCCTGACCTTTGGCAGTCTTAATAAATGAGCATGAAAAAATTGCCCCCTTAGTGACATGTATTCTGTTTTCTTTGTCAGAAAAACAGATTTACATCTTAATCCCCACAACATAAACCACTGCCATGAAATTCCTTACATAACCGTTGTTCCTTTTAGCCTCTCATAGTCTATTTTTACGATATACTGGCAGTGAAGTAGTCTGAACTGTTTGCTGCTGAGCGCTGAGTCTAAATCTGATTAAATGCTATTATCAAGTCTGAATAGAGTCCCCAGAGGGCAGCAACACACTTGCTCAATAGTGAACAGATGCTTTCACTGCGACAGAGTGCTTCAATACCATCAATCAACAATGATTGTTATCAAGCCACAGACCTGAGTGACAGAGATAGAGCCGGCGTGCGTGTGTTTAAAAAGAGCCCGGTGTTTATTCACTGCCTCCACTGTCACTGCAGCCAAATCAGTAACGTGCAAAGCTCCCTTTTGAAGAAATCAATATTACAGAGAAGTCTGGAGCCGGTGTAGATGTTGAAAGGGGGCAGCGTGGAAGGGTGGCGAGGCTACATGAAGTTCACAGCGCTGTCATGGGAAAATTACTTCAATCTCTCATCGCATAAATTCTTAAGATAACTCCATTCTGGTTCTTGGTAGTCTCTAACCTCTGGCTGAACCAAACCAACTGTGTGACACCATATCACATTTCACATATGGCTCTGGCTGCTCAGGGGATCAAAGGGCTTTACTGGCAGGCCCACTTTAAGCCCATGGACTGATGTATACATTGACTTCTGCGCTAAAAATGTAGTTTTTAAGTGCTCAGTGACTTCAAAGGAGATGTAACTCCTAGGTGGCAGGAGGTTGCTTTGAGACTCCTCCAAAAACATATGGCGCCTCACACACTCAACAGTGGCTTCTTACTAATAAGTCATGCACAACTTCTGGACATATAAAAACAAAGGACGGGCAGGGAGGTATGCAGTACATATCCAAGAGCCCGGAGCTCTTGAATGATTTAAAGTTGACTTACCTCTCTTAAATTCCTCCAGCATCACATCCAGCTTAGTATCACTGAAGACACAGTGCATGGGATGCTTGTAAAACTGAGTAATTGTTTTCAGAGGAGTGCAATCGTCGGGATCCACGAAGGCCAGGTCTTTGACGAACAGTATGTCCACGATGTTGGACCTCTCGTTCTCGTAGACCGGGATCCGGGTGAAGCCGCTCTGCATCACGTCGGACATGGTGCAGAAGTCAAGCAATGCGTCCGACGACAGCATGTAGCAGTCCGACAGCGGGGTCAGCACGTCCTCCACCGTCTTAGTCCTGAGCTCCAGGGCTCCCTGGATAATGTTGAGCTCCTCTTTCACCAGATCGTGGTAGGGGTCCGTGACGTTCAGCATGGCCACCAACTTCTCCCTGGTGTAGAAGCTGCTGATTTCTTGGTGCAGCATGATGTCCAGAATCTTGGACACGGGGTAGGCGATGGGGAAAAACACCAGCATCAGCAAACGGGTCGCACAGAGAGTCTTGGATGCGATGGCCAGGCTGTGTCTGGACGCCACCGAATGAGGTAAAATCTCGCCAATGAAGAATATTCCCAGAGTGCATGAAGCAGTCGAGAGAGCTGTCATTCCTAAAATCTGACACATCCACACCACAAAGCATGTATTGGTCAGCACGTTCCCCAGCACCACCGTGCAAAGGATGTAGTTTCCGTGTTTACGCACTGACTCTATTTTCCGTGCGTATTTCTGCTCCTTCTCTGTGCCACTGTTCTGCAGGACCCGCAGCTCCACGGGGTCCAGGGACAGCATGCTGATGTTCAGACCGCTGCACAGAGCAGAGAGTCCTAACAAGAGCACCGAGACTCCTGCCTGGAGCCAGGCATCTGCCTCGGGGGGTCTCTCCACCACTGCCAACCAAAAGTCTTTGGTGCTGAGGTGCTCCCATTTCACTCCATCGAACGCGCACATGGAGTAGTATTTAATCACCTCATCTCTGCGCAGGTCTTTGGCAAGCAGTTCAACCAAAACGGAGTTGTGACTTGACGTGGACCTGAAAGAGCCCAGCAGCTCGATGTCGGAACTCCGGGCACTCTCCTCCTCACACGGGTTGTCTCTGGACCGGAGTGTCCTCTCTGGATCTCCGCCGTGGTCCCCCGGCTCCTCTATGAAGGCGATCCACGGCGCGGCAGGTGCAGCATCGGCTCTTGTTCCGCTGATGTTCCGGCTGTTGGGCTGCTCGTGTTTTAGGGATGCGGAGTAGTAAACCCTCAGTATGAAGCGGGTCCCTTCAGTTGCCCTGAGTATGCCGTCCTGCACGGACAACTCTCCGCTCTGGGTATCTTCCGGCCGGACACCGAGCAGTGCCGCCGCAGGGGCCAGGAGGGACGAAAGGGTGATGGTTAAAAGAAAGAGAGCGGACCGGCGCGGATGCAGGATGCAGCAGAGAGCATCCGCAGCATCCGCAGCCATCATGCTGAATGAACTACTGAAGGACGTGGGAGAGGTGGGTCACGTGGTGTGCTGATGGAATAGATTGAGCAGCTGGGTGGTATCTTATTCTGAGAGAGAAAGAAGAATTCAGGAGGGGGGGGGGGGGCTGAAATATAAATGACAAATACGAACGCATGCACTGGGTACTTTCAGTCTCTTTCTAAAATTAGAACAGAGGAAGTGCCTCGTCATGAATGATTAATGAGATTCAGTCCGTGCAACTGTATACGATTTCTCTGTACGGTGATGAATATTCCGTGAATTAAAAGAAGATGAGACGCTGACAAAAGAGGAGATAATAGGTACAGCCAGCACAAAACAGCCCAGCTCGGTTTAAACCTCCTTCCTCTTGTTTTAAGGTCTCCACTAGATGGCAGTATATCCACCTACTTAACCACAACAGACAGTGAGGACCGCTGCCTTCTGAGAGCCTGACGTGACTAATGGTGGAGAAAAAGTGAGCCGAATTTTCTTTTTTCTTCCACTTATAAAAGTCTTGTTATCTCGTGTTAGAAGGATTTAGTTTGATGCAGCAGCTCTAAAATGGACGATTTTTAGACATAGGCTATGTCACAGACTGAAAGTACTTATCAACACACGTATTCATTTTCAGTGAACAAATAGAAATATAATACAAATGTTCATATGAGAAGAGTGTGGTATATCTATTTTTAAAAAAACTCAAGGAATTCCTAGAATAGTAGAAATGGCATAAACATGGTCAAAACGAAGTTTTTCTTATTATTATTGTTAATCTTAATATAAGTTTTATTATGATTCTTCTTCTTGTTGTTATTATTATTGTTTCCTGTGCGTTGATCTTGAGTGATGAATTATAATGAAATTCTTCGAGAACAGCTCAGTCTTTTGGGTTTTTACCGTGCAGCAAAGTTGAGATCCTGAATCACATTGTCATCTCTCCATCGGCCTCTGTTCCTCAAAATATGTTCCGTGGTGAAAATGCACTTTGAGGAGAAGCATCTCAAACATTTCCATAAGAGACAAGAGAGGACAAAAAATAAACAGTCCATTCGATAGAATCCAAATGACGTGCTGTCAGTCAGTCAAGAAAACGTTTTGAGTCTAATTTACAACAGCAGGCAGAAATTCGGAACATGTGGGTCATACTGGGAAAAAACAAAAACAAGGTTTCGCTCCGCTTAAACATAAATCCAAACACGGCACATGTAAACACCTGAGACTAAAGACATTTTCAAACGAAGATCTCTCATTTTGCTCTGCGTGTCACATCCGTGCATATTTCTAAAGAACATTTTCCGACGGTTAAACATCTATAGTTAGTACATATTCCCTCTAATTACTTATGGGATTATTGTCCGCAGTTTAATAACAGTACACATTTAAATGTAGCTCAATAATGGTTCAACCGATTCCCTGTAAGACCACATAATAAGTCTGTGTTCGTTTTCAAACGCCGTGACTAATATTGAGGAATTTTAATGTTAAAGAAGAGTTAAGAAGCTTTGGAAAATGTCACATTTGACTTGTTTACTATAATTAGTTATATCATCCTGCTGAGCTGCTTTATTTGAAAAAGAACCTTTATTTAATCGCAGGTAAAATACAAAGAATGCAGGTAGCACAAAACAACAGTGTTATCTCTTTTTAACATTTTCTGCAACAGAGGCTGATGAGACCACAGGCATTTTGTACAGATTTATTTCTTACATTTTCTCTCTCAAAAAAAAAAAGAAAAAGAAAAACGCTGTAACAGTACAAGAGTAGAAATTAACAGTAAATTCAATTGCATTTTGGCTTTTATTTTAGAAAGAAATGGTGCAAAATAGCTATAAAACAATTCAAATATCAAATAACAATGGTTTACATATTTATGAACAAGCATGTAACTATCTTTTGGAATGCTATTGGCAGAAAAACAAGCTCTAAACATGAGATTTTAAAAAACCCTGTAAACTGTCCTAAAAAAAAGTGAACAACTAAGTCAGTTAGAGGTTACATCTCTTACAAAAGTACTAAACTTAGATATAACTTGTGCTTGGACCATAATAAGACCATGTGCTAAAGCTGATGATAAGTTTAGTCAAAGGTTCTCAGGGGACGTTTGGACGTCTGTGGATGTGCTGAAAATCTCTCAGCCTTTTGCTTATAACCTGCACCAGATTAAGATCACGATTTGTGACAATGAAAGACATTATTTAACTTCAACCCGTTGTTTTCACATTTTCAAACACTTGCTTGTGTTTTAATATGAGAAGTTTGGGTGACGTGAGTCGCCGTGGATACGTTGGCCTTTAAAGAATTGAAAATGTCTTCTGCGCTAGGATTGGAAGAAAAAACACATTTTGGTCTCATGTTTTCTTCTGTTGGACGTCGGTGTCCTAACCCCCCCCCCTCTCACTTCTCGTCACACTGACCGCCCGGGGAGATTGTTGCGCCGAGGTGTGGAGAAATGACAAGAGAAACGCACTCTCGTTGTTCCTCTTCACTCAGAATCAGAGACCCAACGTACATCTGGGCTGATAAGTTGTGGTAACAACTTGTGCTGCAATAGAGGTCCCTGCGTAGGAACTTAATTCCAAAAGTGTTTTTTTTCTCTCAAAAGAGGTTAAATGTTGACATCTCAAAATGTGCAATCACTTGTTTGTCAAAACAACTTGGGCCTGTGTGGTGAACGTGAAATATGCCGAGACGTATCTATTCTTCTTCTCTGGATCTGAAGCCTGGGGATTCCTGTGGGCTCAGTAGGATTTTTGAAAAATATGTAATTTACAACGTGCTGTCAGTAATGGGTTTCGTAGAATCTATGACCCTTACAGTGTATTTAATCTGAAGTAATTTCTTTGTTGTAACATCAGTTTCTGGTTAGTCAGAGCTGTGCCTAACATGCACCTTTGCACTGCCTTCCATTGTTCTATGCTCTCTCTCTCTCTTTTTTATTTGTAAGATTGATTTTTAAATATTAATACCAAACACCAGCCTTAATGGCTCACTTATTTTTCACGTCATAACCCTGTCATCGTTGGAACTTGGACCTTTTAATGTGCTCTGAGGTCTCAAGTTGACTCAATTTTGCGTTTAAAAAAAGTTATGTTGACTTTCTCAACTATGTTTACGTCAAATACTTACCTTGTATTAATGAGAAACGGCAGTTCCTCTTAAAACTCGATTGTTAACCACATGAGCTTGGAAAACCTTCACACAGTCTCATACCTCAGAGAACCTTTGAGGGGCGGTGCTGCCTCCTCTCCTCCAACTTTCTGGCTCCCACAACTGGGAAGGCTGGCTAGGGGCGTGCGTTCTTTTGCACAGCTCCCAAAAATACACAGAGGGGCGGGGGGCAAAGGGGGTGAGACAGCTAGACAGGAAGACAGATCCAGATCGATGGGACCGACGTAAAGAACCGCCATCGAACTTTGAGGCTGGATTTTATTTTTTTCTATGAGCCTTTGAGCCCCATTACGCACACTGATCCCCCAGCTCTCCAGACCAAGAAGATGCTCAGATCCTCACAATCCGTGTTGCCATGCTCCTCAATGTGGCTGGCATCTTTGATTTTTTTGACAGTGCATTTGGCGCTCTCTTCCTCGTACTCTTCCTCCTCGTCGTATCAAAGACCGGCAGCTGCTGGAAAGAGACCGGGCTTCATGGGGAGGACGCTGGTTCTCCTGGATGTTAACACCCGCAGCCCGATCAGAGTCCTCAACGACAACTTCCTCTCGTTGCAGCTGGACCCCTCTATCATCAAAGACGGCTGGCTGGATTTTCTGAGGTACCAAACAGCTCCCGTAATCGTCACCAACACTGATCTGTCTGCGTTCTCATCTCCAAAATGTTTGGTTCCTTTATTCATTACGCATGCAGCCACGCTGCCTAAATTCTCATAAAATTATTCAGCGTGTTTGTTTCCCAGTTGCAGAACCACGCGGCCCAGTGTTAAGTATTTTAATTAAGGGTTGTCCAAACTTTCCAGATGATAAAATCATAATAACTGTTGCTAATAAACTCCGGTAGCTCGCAAAGACAATGCTCTCTTTTGGTCCTCGAGTCTCAATCACAAAATAAATCTTGGTTTAGGGTTTAAATAATTATCAATCAAGTTGTTATGTATAACATACCTATTTAAAATATAAACAGACTTGATATTTTTAAAGCCAGACAATAAAAGTTATACTGCTTGTGGTGTATATCTCCTCTAAGTGAAAGATGTTTATTATTCCCATCAGTTTTTGTGACTTTTTAAGTAGAGCTTTTCTACAAATGTTTTAAGTTAACGTTTTCAAAACCTTAACGTTTATTCAGTATTTATGGTAAAAGTAATAAAAGCCTAGGGTGAAATAACACTGATTTGCGGCATAGCCCAGTCATCTTGGATTTTTCCCTGCAGAATTTTTTTATGCGTAAAGAAAGACTTCAGATTCATTCCAAATGCTTATTTGTGCTTCCCTAGAAATAAAAAAAAAAGTTGTGAAATCATGCTTTAATTACCGCGTTTCTGTCTCACTACCATAAAAAGAAGGAAAATGTTTGTGAACTTTTTAAATTTCTAGTTTAATTAATTTTCAAAGGTACATTTTCCGTTTCACATCCCCACTTCGCAGCTTTGTTATGGTTAAACTTGATTAAAATATTTTCCTCACAATAAAAATAAGGAAATTAATACAATATATATGTACATATATATGAAAAATACAAACATTACAAACAACACCTTCATAGTATAAAGACGTTTAAGGGAAACCTTGTGGACTTCTTAACACACGTCATCCGTCACTGTGTGATCAGTGATTCTTAACAAAACTCCTTCTAAGAGCTTGAGATTATTTTGCCCCAAATATTAACCTCTTATTTTATTACTAGAGATTGGGTTTGAGTCACTGTACAATTCATTCTGATATAGAACATAAAAAGGGATAAACACCGTTCCAGGTCGTTCATGACAGCTGGAAATGAAAGCAGCACATCCCTCCTATTTAGATAGCTAATAGAGCTGCTCATCTCTC